CAGATGCCTTTTCTGTACACCGAGTTATCCTTTGGACAGACTCAGTGGTGGGTTTGCTAAGTCGTATGGTAGTTCTGCTTTTAGTGTCTTGAACCTCCATACTGTTCATACTAATTAATATCCCCAGCAATGATGGATGAGAGTTCCCCTTTCTCCACATCCTCTCCAGCATTTGTTAGTGCCTGTCTTTAGATAAAAGCCAATTTAACTAGGGTGAGATGATATCTAATGGTAGTTTTGATTTGCATTTCTCTGGTGACTAATGATTTTGAGCATTTTGTCATATACCTATTGGCTATTTGTATTCTTCTTTTGAGAAATGTCTATTCAGATCCTTTGCCCATTTTATCAGATTTTTTGAGTTTTTCCTGTGGAGTAGTTAGAGCTCCTTAGATATTCTAGGTATTAATTCCTTGTCATGTGGGCAGTATGCAAACATTTTCTCAGGTTCTGTGGGTTGTCTCTTCTCTTTATTAATGCTTCCCAATATTTGTATTTCATGTGGTAGCAAGACTTTCACTTGATTTAGTGAGAAGATTAGTCACAGATTTATTCTGTACCAGAAAAGCCTTTTAATTGTTTATGTCTACGCAGAAGAGAAAGAAAAGTTCCTAATTTCTGTGTAAGGAAACCAGGTGCAGAGATGTAGAGTGTGTCTGTTAAACCAGCTGAAAGGGAGAGGAAAGGGAGTAATATTTTTGTACTAAGCCTTCTGGTGCTCCAGGTACTCTTCACATTTTTTAAATGAGGAAGATTGTAAATTTGTGTATTTAATATATGGTGTTGATTTGAAGCTTTATTTGCTGTTGTTTTCATTGTTCATTGCTTCTGTAACTTTGATGTAAGAGATTGGTTCATCAAACATATGTATGAATTATTTTTCTTAATTTATTTCTTTGTCTAGTTTCTGAGAAGCATTCAGTCAGTGAGAGACCCAGCATCTATCCCTCCCGAAGAGATGGTAAGATGATATACTTCGGATGTGATGAAGGCTCCTTTGTGTAACTGAGTGTGAAATATGTAAAAACTTCCCTCTGCTCATTTCTTTGCTAACTCATAAATCCTCCAGCCTTATAAACAACCACAATATTGTTTAAAGATAGACACACCTCATTGTGAGCATGGTATTCATTTCATGAAAAGTACTTGTACTTTGCTAGAAGCCATAATATTAATAGTTGGAGAAGCAGCAACCCCCATTCTTTTGTGTGCTTCACCCAAGCCATTCATCTGCCCAGCTGAGCGTTTGTTAGGATTCTAAGATAAGCAGAAGAGGGATTATTAATATTATGGTGCTGGTAAAGATTCTCTTTACCATTAAGTTCAAAAGATGTTGATCCCTATAAGTTTGTTCTTATAACTACTATAAATAAACATTAATCCCCAAAGACATATTTAGTGTGCTTTATAGGAAATAGAATCCCAACTGTAAACTTGAGTGACCTAAGACTTTAAATAAGCCACATTTATCCAAATCAAGATTATGTATGTATAAGACTTCCCAGAAAGTATCCAGCCATGTGATATGAAAAATAGAGACATACATGGCTGGATGCTTTTCAGATAGTCTTGCATATTAAGGTTTTTAAATTTGTGATTTCTGGATTTTAAGTCAGTTTGGAGGATCTAGAGCAACATTTAAGAAAAAGGAATAAAAGAAAATATAATTGGGCATCCTATTGGATGAATTTTTTGTTTCCATCATATATATATATATATATATTTATACACGTGTGTATACTGGGCTGTGATACAATTTTTTTTACTCTGAATTATGTCAAAAATATTTTTTAAAGCCACAGACATGTATCATAGTTTGACCTTTTTTTTTTTTACCTTTTTCTCTCTCCTTGACATTTTAAAATCCTTGCACACTAGCGAGTCTTTGATTCACTAAGTATTAAGAACCTATAAATTAGCGTGTGGTACTATGAAGTTAGAAATGGGCATAATAAACGCACACACAGGAGAAGGTGATTCAGAGAAAATTAGAAATGGCTTACAAGGCAGATCTTGTGGTTTTAATGGTCTTTACTACTTTTAGTCTCCAGAATTCTCAACTCTTCCTGAGTCTTTTGGACATGCCCGGGACGCCTTTTCATTTGGAACATTGGTGGAAAGTTTGCTCACAATGTTAAATGAACAGGGTGAGTTGGAGTTAAACTTTGCATCCACAGAATCAGTAGGAAAATCATCCATAGCCTGTTCTGTGTGGAATTCAAAGGACTGCAGCCTTTGATCATAGTAAGGAACCTGTTGCTTACCAAGTAGCTTTTTTAGGGCAGGTATTAGCAGCAGTAAAGAAGGAAGCTTTGGATTTCTTTAGTTTGTATAGTGACAAGGCTTTTAAGTAGGAAGCACTTTGAACCATGGCTGCATCATGTGTGATTATCTATTTAATTCGCAATAGTGTTTATGGTCTGAAGATGCTCTATTCCTTATTGAGCCAGCCAAGAAGTCAGTAAATGTCATTAATGATTTATATGTAATACTCCAATAATAGAGTAAGATTCAAAATTGTTAAATCAGGCTTAACATTTTCTTATGCTTTCAAGAACATAAACCCTTTGATTTATGTTCTTCTTGCTGTGATTTATTCATTACTGTTTTTCTTTTGTTGTCCCTTGACAATCAGCCCACTAAAGACCTTGTTTTCCACTCTCTTCTGTGTTCTCTGTGTGCTGAGCAGCCTGCTCTACTCTGTGCCCCCTCGAGGCCTTTAATTATCCATAAGGTTACTGAGGCACTGTCACAGGAGGCCCCCTACTTGCCTATATCCCACATTGCTTAAGCTTTGTGGCAGTTCTAATGTGGTTTTTTCTACTAGGTTTATGCTGGTGTTCTTGTGTTGCAAGCACCATATAGCTGTCACCATATAGCTGTAAATTGCCCCAGCCTAAGAATCCATTGTGTATGATGAACTAACTGTTCTTCTGTGTATCTAGAATGGTGACAATTTTGTACCATCTTTGGAATAATTGAAAATAACAGTTAATTTAAATAACTTTTCTGTGGATAGGAACTATGGATGAAAAAGGCCCTCAGTCCTGTCAACTTATTAAGCCTTCTTTGGGCCTGAGCTGGGTTAAAAGGACAATCAAGGAATGAGAGGGCACAGAAGGGAGGCAGCTGAGGTGGGATTGGGTGTTGGCAGGACAGCTTTCTACACCTGCCAAGGAGTTTGGCCTAAGGCAAGCGGGAAGCTGTTTAGCAACAGCCAGGGCTTTGTTTGTTTGGGCTTTTACAGGTTGGTTTTTGCTCTCGTCAGTCTCCAGCTGTAGAGGTCCTGAAAAGAGGGAGAAGGCATTGGAAACTAACTGTAGCTCTGGATTTCAGTTTCAGCGGATGTTCTCTCCAGCTTCCAACAGACCTTGCACTCAACTTTGCTGAATCCCAATCCAAAATGTCGGCCAGCGCTCTGCACTTTACTATCTCATGACTTTTTCAGGTGAGGGCATCAGGGGTGGTGACACTGGTTGCTTCCCACTGCTGCCTGCTCCCTTGAACAATATATAAGGACCAGTTTGGGGGGAGGGGGTTGGAGGACCAAATGATGCAGCCCTTATTGTTTTGTTGATTATTAAGAGATACTGAATCGTGTCTGGGGAGAATATAGGAAGAAACTAGGTTGTGGCTCAATTTCCTATCATAGAAAGTTTGATTGCCATGAAGGCTTATGTTTAGAAATTATGATCATATTTATTAGGGCTTCTGATTGTGAAGAAGCTGGGCTTTGTTCATTAGTTTACAGTTGTAAATTAATTGAAAAGTTAATAAATCTGGTATCTCCTTTCTGTTACCATCATATTATATATATGAATTTGTTCTTGTTTTTTTCTTGTAGGGATAGGAAATGAGCTTATTTTTCTTTAGGCAAGAAATTTTCTTTGTCTAGTAGTACTTGATGGAAGAGCAAAGAAGTTGATTTATGGGGAGGGGTACAATATATCTTAATACTTTCCTGGATTCAGAGATGTTTTTGAACTTCTCTTCAAGGTTAATTTTAATTATATGTCCTTTATTTTTTATTTCTGTGACTGCAGACCTTCTGCATAAGTTAATTCCAGATTGATGACTTTTATTAGCAAACCAACTTTATGTTAGTTTTGATACTAAGTATCTTTATGAGTTTGCATTTGGAGAGCATGGGGAAAACCAGAGGAAAGGGAAAAGTGATACCTGTGAAGGGGGAAGAAATTACCTTTAGGATAGGACTGGGAAAGTTGGTATATTATTAAATAGCATTTGTACTTATTGGGTTTACATTTGTAATTACTATTTCAAAGAAACTTCACAACCATCCCCATTATGAAAATCTTTGGGGGGATTTTTTTTTTAATTTGGTTTTTAATTGACAAATATAAATTGTGTATGTTTATCATTATGAGAGTCTTTAACCAAGCTATTTCCATGTCCTTTTGGAGCATTCTTAGAAATATTTTCCTTGATAGAAAGTCTAGAATAATCCATTACAGTAAACAGATTGTCATCATAGTTTATAATATAAGTTCTTTGTTAAGAATTGTATTGTAAATTGAAAGGCGAAAAGAAAGCTAAAAGCATACCAACTCTACTGTCCCATTATTACATGGGAAGAAAACCCAGCCTGAGTTAACCAAAGGGGCCAGTGCCAGCATCCCTTGCTCAGGCAACTGAGCCAGTTTGATTAAAGTTAATACATCTCTCTCTACTAAGCCAGACAGAAACATAAGATAGGTGTAAACCTAAGATGTGAAAACTCAGGTGGTAGCTTTGCCTGCCGTGGAAGCTGTGCAGCTTGTGTACTGAAACATCCAGGAGCAATAGTCTCCCATATGGCAGGATGTGAGCTAAGCGGTCCACAGCCTCCGGGACTCTGTGGGAGCCCTGTAGGAAGCTGGTGACTCCTCCCACACTCCATCCTTGCCTGGCTGAAAGAATGACTAACTTACAGCAGGAGAAATGAGAAGATTCCTACACAGAAATTTCACATCCCCCAACTTCTTTAGTACTTTTATTTCACCAAGGAAGATGTGGGAATCAGTATTTTAACATGGCAACATTATTTCTCCCAGGATATTTTATTTAACAACAACCTATTACAACCAGAAATTTGGAGATTTATGATGATTGTTAAAACTGTAAATCCTGTTAGCAGGTGTCAGTTTAAGCTTGTATGCTCTTTACAGATCTCCGATATTCTTAAATTTCAGATTCCCAAGAGGCTTATCATAGTATTTGTCTCATAAGCTACTTGGTTGTAATTGAATCTTTGAAATGGCATAGAAGAATATTTCTTTGTTGAAAATTATCTGTGGTTATGGGTTCAGTATTAATATACTTCTTTAATCTGTTCTGCATTTTCTTCTTTTTGGCATTTAGAAATGATTTTCTAGAAGTTGTGAATTTCTTGAAAAGTTTAACACTGAAGAGTGAAGAGGAAAAAACTGAATTCTTCAAGTAAGTTTGAAAAGTTAAGACCTTGAATTCAAGTACTTGGGTTAAGTCTATATATTATTTGGTTTATTTGACACAGTTCATTAGACATTTCTTACATGCTGGCTTTCAGTGAGGCCTGGGATGGATATTAAGATAGATGGATCTGACAAGGGAAACAGATACCCAGAACGATCCTTAAACAATGGGGTGTGGGTAGGTGTAGTGGTGGAGCTTTCAGAGGGCATCCTGAGAGGAGAGAGGGAGGAGCTAGCTGGAAAAAGTATTCTGTGCAGCAGAGCAACAGGAATTAATGCATGAAGGCAGACCCAGTGGGACTGGTGCAGGGGCCTGCAGGAGGTTGAGTCCTGTGAAGGGGGCATTCCAAGACAAGGACAAGTAAGAGGTGGCCCTTGGAGGTGGCAGTAGGAATGTGGACTCTTTCTGGTGTTGAAGCCATCAGAGGGGTGAAAGCAGGCTGTGAAGTGGTTAAACCTCCCTTGAGGGGATGACTGTTGTCTATAGAGGGAGCAAGAGTTGGATTGGTTAGGAGACTGCAGTAGTCCAGGCAGCAGAGATGACACTGCATGCAAGGGCTTGGATGGTACCATTGAAGAAGACAAGGGATAAGAAGGATGTTACAAGGTAACGTTGGCAAAATTAGTGATTATCACCAAATGAAATACTAGAGGGGAGGACCTAATACACAGGTAAAATGGTAAATTCAGTGTTGGGTGTGTTGGTTTGAAGTATCTGTGGGACTTCAGATAGAGATGTACATGGACAGTTGGCCAGACAGGTCTGAAGCTTAGGAGAGAAGTCTGTAGGGGTGAGTATTAGGGCATCAGCCTGTAGTTGATGATATTTGCCCAGAGAAGTGGGTAGCATGAAAACAACAGTGGGCTCAAATTATAACCCAGTGGGCAGGAGGGGCTGGTGAATGAGACAAAGCAGTGGTTAGAAGAGATTCAGGGAGAGCCAGGAAGACTTTGAAATCCCCAGAGGAGTAGGGATTTCCGGAAAGGAAGGACAGATCAACAGATACCTGATCATTTAGCAGTCAGGAACGCACTGGGTAACCTTGTCTTAGCAAGAGCTATTCCAGCAGAGGGAGACTGCAGTGGGTCCTGGGAAGTGATTGGAAGGTGGGAAAGTAGGCACTAGAGAAAAACTCCTGAGAAACCTGGAACGGAGGGAGCATGTAATTGCTGAGGAAGCAAATGGAGTCAAGGAAGGATCTTTTAAGAATGGAAGAGATAGGAGCATGTTTATAGATAGAGGAGCTGGTGGACAAGCAGTGGAGCAATTGAAGCTACAGTCATGTTCGGAAGAACTGCTGGCGCAAGGTCTGAAGAGAAGGCAATGTGGGCAGTGGCTGGTGGGGGACAGGGGGTGGCCTTAAGTCAGGCCCTGAAATCTTTGTTAACTGGAAAGGAGGTAGGAATGAGTATAGATGGAGACCCATTTGTTGATAGTGGTATAAAGGTTGTAGGGTGATAATGCATGATGTGGCCTGTGTCCTAGTAAAGTAGGAAGTAGAATTACCTGCTAAGGGTAATTGTATAATGGCGTATTATTACTCTTAATAGGTAATGTTTGTATTTCTTAACAAAGTGCTTTTATGTAGTTTCATTTTAATGAAGTTAGTAACAAAAGTTTGAATTTTGTCTGGTATGGAAACTTTAGATAATCTAATATTTTACACCTTTTACATTTCAGAAAATGTTTATTATGTAGAAAGCTTCTGGTCTATTAGGGAAAAAAGAGAACCTTTTGCTATTGATAAAGGGTAATTTGTTGAAAACATTCATTAGCTTACTACCTGGCTTTCCCTCATATTTTGTGCATTTTTCTTAAGTACTTAGTGGCCAATCCTTTTACCTTCAAAATGCATCAGTTTTATAAAAGTGGGAGAGAGGCCATATGTGGTCTGACTTAATCAAGTAAAGTGATACAAAGAGCTTCCCAGGCTTTCCTTTTTTGTCCTTAGATTTCTGCTGGACAGAGTCAGCTGCTTGTCAGAGGAATTAATAGCTGCAAGGCTGGTACCTCTTCTGCTTAATCAGTTGGTGTTTGCAGAGCCAGTAGCTGTAAAGAGTTTTCTTCCTCATCTCCTTGGCCCCAAAAAAGGTGAATCTGTTGTTCAAAATATCACTGGTAATTAAGCAATTTAGTGATTGTTAGTGCATGAAAGAGCAGGCTGCGACTACTGTGTGGTAGAGTTAATGGCTGGTTCTAAAAATGGGGAATAGTTATTGGCCCCTGATCTGATAACTTTAACCCAAACCTGAGTACCAAAGCTCACAGGATAAATGTGGAGCTTCTTCCTCGAGTGCCAGGTTTACTATAGTCAGTAAGTTATATGTGACTAGAATATGAAATACATATGATGTTTTAAGGTAAGGCATGCATCTTCAGAGGTGCATTTGCCATGAATTATTCAGGCCTGTGCCTCCTGACTTTCCAAGAGCAACCCATTTAATGTTTTTAGTGAAAAGATTAAAAGGCACTCAGATCATTTTACTTCTTAAAGGATTCAGAGTTTTTTTATCCTGAATGTGAAATAAGGTTATTACTTTGAAACTTTGTAACTTTATAGCACTATAGATGGTAACACATCAGATTAGAGAGTATAGCATTAACATAACACTGGAATTTTTAGGTAGGTAGGATCTGCTTTCAGAATTTTTTTTTTTTTAGAAGATCTCAATCTAACCAAATAGTGTTATGGGTAACTGGATTAAAAATTAGAAGTTACTTATATCTATACTTTGATATCATTTTCTTTAGCCATGAATTTTTCTTCATAGATCTTCCAGTCTGTTACTCAGTGATCTTAGATAGGGTATATGTCTAAATCACTTGGATTGCTTTTAAAACATTTGCCTGTATCCCTGATCACTAGTTCTGCAACAGAGCCAGGTCCTCTGTCGTACATATTTTTTTAAAGATTCTCAAATGCTTCTTATGCATGTCTATTTGATAACCACTACAGTACCTACCATAGAGAGGACTGTCTAGGAACAAAGTCCCACTGAAGTACTTAACACATGGTTTTGCAAATAAAATTGCAAAAACGATATCAGTATGTCACTAATATAATCTAGCATATGAAATTCTGCAGTGATTAAACATAAATTTAAGGTAATTAAGCCTTGAGTAATTTTGGGTCAAGAAAAGAACTTTCCTTTGGTTTGGGGCATAAGAATTTAGAAGAGTGCTTAGAACACATAGAAAGCTGGGTTTAGTTTATGAGTGATGTTTAGTACTCTTTTCACTGAAATGACAGCTTGGTTTTTCATATCACCTCCTTTAATTTTGGGGATAGATCACGCACAGGGAGAAATGCCTTGCTTGCTCTCACCAGCCCTGTTCCGGTCGCGGGTGATCCCTGTGCTTCTGCAACTGTTCCAAGTCCACGAGGAGCATGTGCGGATGGTGCTGCTGTCTCACATCGAGGCCTACGTGGGGCACTTCACTCAGGAGCAGCTCAAGAAAGTCATCTTGCCACAGGTCAGAGACCAGCTGGCAGTGGGGCTATCACAGAGCCTTCTACAAGTGCAGGGCAGCAGGGTGGTGGGGCTAAAAGGAAGAATTCAGATAGGAGAAAGCAGTTCAGTTTAAAAGCCTACTGGAATACAAAGGGCTGAAATTAAAATTTCATTTCTCTAAACACTGGCAAATCGATGAAAGTAACGTTTGGTTTTAACTTGGGAGACTATAAATCTGTTTGCCAATTCTTTCAAGGAAAATCATTAAGAATCATTTGTGGAATGCTTTGTGAACATAAATATGGTAATCAATAATTAGTACAAAATATTTAGAACTGAGGGGACCATAAGATTATTCAGCTTGCTTATCAGCCACCAGGGAACTTAATTTGCACACCCAAGGCCTTCAGGTTATAACATTAGTTTCTTATTACAGCCATTACAAACTGTCACATACTGCATGTCTAAAAACTATAGAAACTTATCCTGCCTCAGTTCTGGAGGCCAAAAGTTGAAAGTAACCGGAAGTTGTAGGCATGACCAGGCTTCCTCTGAAGGCTCTAGGGAGACTATTCTTTTGCCTCTTATAAACTTCTGGTAGCTTTCAGCAATGCTTGGCATTTTTGGCTGTGGCTGCCTCATTCCAGTCTTTTCCTCTGGTGTCACATGGTCGTCTTTGCTCTGTGTCTTAACAAAGCCTATGTACAAAGACTGCAGTCAGTGAATTTAGGGTACACCCTGACTCAGTATGACCTCATCAAAAGGTTGCATTATGTGTGGATGTGAATGGGGGGGTGGAGGAGACACTATTCAGTCTAGTGTGAGATTTTAAAAAGATTGTTTTTAAAACACCAATCACATGGTATCTTATAATAATTTGTTTTCCTGTGAGATTAACACTCTACCTGCTTTCAAGGAACTAATAAAGTGGGAAAGATGTTTCAGTTATCTATTGCTGTATAACAAACTATTCCAAAACCTAATGCCTTAAAATAGCATTTTATCAATTACCACAATTCTTTGGATTTGGGAGGCTCAGCTTGGGATTCTGTTGCTCCACAGGATGTCAGCTGAGACTTTACTCATCTGAGGTCCCACCAAGCTGACCCATCCAAAATGGCTCCTTGGCACCTCAGTGGGGATGGCTGAAAAGCTGAGCTTAGCTGGGACTTTGGGACTTAGCTGAGCCTTTCTGTTCCTTAACTCTCAGGGCTTCTGTGCCCACATACAGCATTTCCACATGATGCCAGTCAGGGCAGAAGGGCAAAAGCAGCCTTCTTATGAGGACGGCTGGGAACTGACAAGTGTCATTTCTGCCTCATTCATTCATTCATTTATAAGGCAGAATTGCTCTGTGGCTCATAGCAACCTTAAACTCCTGGGTTCAAGTGATCCTCCTGCCTTAGTCTCCCAAGTAGCTGGGACTATGGGCGTGCACCACTGAACTCAGCTGACTATTTCTGTATTTTTAGCAGAGACAGGGTCTCATTCTTGCTCAGGCTGGTCTTGAACTCCTGAGCTCCAATGATCCACCCACCTCGGCCTCCCAGGATGCTAGGATTATAGGTGTGAGCTGACACACCCAGTCCCACAGTTCTCTTTATTCTTAAAAGTGAGTTGCAAAGTCAACCCAGGTTCACTGTGGGATGGCTTGACACAGGGGCATGGATATTGGAGGCAGATCCTAGAAGCTGACTTTAGAGACTTACCAGTAACACAGGGTTTTCTATTTAACATCGGCAACAGTAGTTTTTACTCTCCATACAGTTAGTTGCATCTGGAAATTTAGGAGGAAGAAAGCACTGTAACTTTGAAATGGGAGTGTCATCGTAAGTCTGAGAATCAGGCTGAGGTCAAAACATGGGATGTTCAGCATGTGAAAGACAAAGCTCTCATTACTTAGGAGTCTTCTGCCCCTGAAGGAGAGCAACGCGACGAATTTCTGTGTGCTAGAAAGTTTGCTTTGGTAGCCGTGGAGCATGGACCATGGGAAGGAGATCAGTGAGGGAGCTGGTAGAGTAGCTTAGCTAAGAGATGACAAAGGCTGGGGAAAATGTGGCAGTGGTTATGGGAGAGGGACACATGAAGGAAAAGGGTAGGACTCAATGGGAGAGGTGTTCAGGATGATGTTTTTTTTGCTTGGATGGATTATTGTTTTATGATCACCACATACAGTCGATGGAATTCTAATCATATGCAAAAGAGACATGATTTAATTTGCTTGTACAGCCTTGTTGTGAGAGTGTGCCTGATCTGTTAGCATTGGATCTAATAATTATCTTGAGACCTGATAGAAACATTTACTCTTACTATATAAATGGGGAAACTAGACCAGAAAAATAAAATGATTAATTGGTCAAGACATACTGAGAATTACTAGGAGAACTGTGTGCTCTTAAGACATGTCATGCCTGGCTGCTTGCACTGGCAGGCCGGTCACCCTGACCTTGTGTGATACTTACAGGTTACCTCTTCTTCCTTATAGTCAGAGCAACACTTCTCCTGATATCTGCATATGACTGTCTTAGTTAAGGTGCTTTAGTTTGCGAGTAACCGAAATCCATTTTAAACCAGCCAACACACGAAAGGAATTTAATGAAAGAATGTTACATTACCTGATGTGGCAATCAGGTGTAGCTTGGTCTCTCAGCCTTATGGTCTCCATTCCTTTCCTTTTTGCTTTGTTTCACTTTTAACGCTCTCTAGACCAGCTTTCACTGTTTTGGTGTGCACGTGGCCAAATGTGGTTGTCTCATAACTTCTAGATGTACTGTCCTTATTTAAAGATTTTTTTTTTTAAGAAACAGTCTCACTATGTTGCTCAGGTTGGAGTGCAGTGGCTGTTTTCAGGCATGATCCTACTGTGGGTCAGCACAGCAGCTTTGACTTGCTCTGTTCCCTTCTTGGGCCAGTTTACCCTTCCTTTGGTAATCTGGTGGTATCTCTACTGGAGGGATCACCATATTGATGCTGAACTGAGACAAGTAATCAGCATAGTTCATTGCAGACCAGAACTTCCTGGGCTGAAGTGATCCTCTTCCCTCAACCTCTTGAGTAGCTAGGACTACAGGCGTGCACTGTTGCACTTGGCATGCTGGCCTTCTTTTAAACAAACTACAGAGATAACTAGTATTACTAAATTCCAGTTTATATTAATGAGCAAGAGGTCATGATGGGCTCAGTTTGGGGCAGGTATTATGCATTATGCACAAAGAAGTTTTTAAAGTCCTGCTCTTACAGGTTTGTGAGCTAAAAAGAGTGGTGAGTACACATATGGAGAATTAAACCTTTTATAAACATAGCATTTTGACAGAGTAATTTCATGTTAGTTCCCAATGTATTTGTTTAATTTTGTATTGATTGTATTTTTATTAAAGAAAAAAAAGCCTATGATGGGGTGGTGCCTGTGGCTCATTGGGTAGGGCGCCAGCCCCATATACCAAGGTT